GTGTGTGTGTGTGTATGTGTGTGTGTATGTATGTGTGTGTATGTATGTATGTATGTATGTATGTGTGTATGTATGTATGTATGTGTGTATGTATGTATGTGTGTATGTATGTATGTGTGTGTGTGTGTGTGTGTGTGTGTGTGTGTGTGTGTGTGTGTGTGTGTGTGTGTGTGTGTGTGTGTGTGTGTGTGTGTGTGTGTATGTATGTATGTATGTATGTATGTATGTATGTATGTATGTATGTATGTGTACGAGAACAGCGTATTGTTCAGGGTTGAGAGGTTTCCCTAATCGGATCGACTTCCCAGTAATTCGCGCCCGTGCTAGGGGTCCATGCAAGGGCGCAAGGCTATGTGTAGCGGCGTGAAAGGACGACATGGTATAGGTTGGTTTTAGTCGGCGTTTTACTGCACTTGACTGATTTGTTTGTTCGTTTGTTTGTTTGTAGGAGTAAAGAGAAGCACATCGACACAATAATGGTCATTTAGTGCTGGGAAGAAGTAAGACGGACAGAAATGTTGTGTTAGTAAGCGTTTTACGGCACTTGCAATACAAAAAAGGCCATATAAGTGCCGAAGAATAGATTGTGTTTGTACAAGAGAGTTATGTACGATCTTTGCTCTGAACGTGCGAGTTCGATGACCCCAGCAACGACCAACTCACTTTCATACGACACCACGTTCTAATCTAAAAAGTATTTTTTTTTAGCCGACCTCAGGTTCAATCGCCTGTCTACTGTACCGATGGAACACAATCAATTGGATTGATTTGATTGAACGGTAGCCAGTCGGTCTTTCTATTATGGATGGGCTGAATTCGACCATTTTACTAAATTATTTAGCACGATACCACAGAATTCGACTCAGTTCGACTGTGATCTCCAAAATCACTGACAAGTTGTTGTTATTTTCAAAAGGTCACGGGGGCTCTCGTGGCCTAGAGGTTAAGGTGTTGGCCTCTCATTAAAAAAGTCCCGGGTTCGAATCCGGGTAGCGACCGAAAAATGTTCTTCTCTAAAACTGTCTCCTTTCACCTTCTTTCCTGCTCTCTAGCAATGTTCTGTTGTCTGCTTTCATTTCCACTTTCTGCCCCCACCCCTTCACCTCCTTTGCCCCCTCCTCTGGGCTCCTGACTCTTTCTGCAGCCTTTCTACTGTTACTCCTTGGCTCCTCCTTACTGCTGTCTTTCTGCCACACCCCTGATCTTCTGGTAGGAAAGATCTACACCTAGCCTTCTCGGACAAGGGCGAAAAATCTCGGAGGGTCCGTGTGCAAGTTGCGCACGTTAAAGATCCCTTGGTGGTCTAAAATCGATAAGAGTAGGCTTCGGCCGCCACCCGGGCAAAATTCAAAATTCCCTACCAACTGAAAATATTATAAGGTGTGTCCCGCGCGCTCATAATATTATGACCTTATGCAGTTGCGAGCGCCGTAAAACACTTTACAAAAACAAACAAACAAATAAAAAAACAAAAGGTCACGAGTCGAACAGGTCGAATCCATGATAGAAAATCTGGCTACACCCGACTCAGATCAATGGGTCCGATTTGCCCCCTTTTTTTTGGGTAGAGTTTTTACAGCGCTCGCAACTACATAAGGTCATATTAGGGCAAAGGGGTGGATGTCAGCAGATAATCCTTACCGGGAATCAGGCTTACTCTGCTCACCTCTCTAGCTTCAACAGCACAAAGTCTGCTTCGACTATCAAGGCACCCCGGAATTAGCGGGTCACAAGAGAGTGACAAACATACAAAAGAAGTAGAGGAAAAATGACGATTGTAAGGATTCGGAAAGAAAAGGCAGCAGTTCCTCGTTGCAGTTCGGGCACAGTTATGAGCATGGCATTGATAAATCAGCCCATTTACAATTTACTGTGCATAAGAACATCTTAATGTCCCCTCTTTGGGAATGGCCTAAAGACACTTCAGTCAGTAGCACCGCCCATGGGGGAGCAGAAGATTAGAGGTGTTACAAGATAGTAACAAACACAAAAGAAGGAGAGATAAGGACGACTGATATTAGATAGGAAAGAATGAGCAAGCCACACGAGAGCACCCACCAACCACCCACAAGTGCACTGTATTAAATTGTATTTCACGTCATGACCCGGAATATTTTCCAACGCCACGTATAAATGATGTCGTCGGGTTATAATACATGTACACATATTGCATCGCGTGACGTGGCAACAAAGCCTGACCTAGTTATCTCTCTGCTATCAGCTGAGTGACACTGGGAAACAGACCAAAACCAAACAAAAACAAAAGAAACAAACCTAAAGAACAAAAACGAACAAAAAACAAAACAAAAAAAGCAAAAACAACAACGAAGAAAAGACAATACGAAGCAAAAAAACAACAACAATAAAAAAAAACCCAAAACAATAACAAGAAAAACTTTGGGTGTGACATAGGAACAAGCATCATTGCCATAGCTCAGCACCACCCTCACAAACTTTTGCTGTACCCGACCCAGACACGGTCCTTTCATCCTGCAATCGGAGTTTGCTTTGTTTTATGAAAGTGTTTTACAGC